CACTCTCTCTCTCTCTCACACACACACACACACACTCTCTCTCACACACACTCTCTCTCTCTCACACACACACACGCAGTTCTCTAGCTGCTGACTGCAGTTACTTTAGAGGAAACTCATTAGCTTCAGCTTTGCATTAAACAATAACAGATTGTGAAAAGTACAAATAAGGGGGAAACGAAGACAAGAGATTCTTGCATAACAAGAGGCCATTACGGACCAAACCACAGAAGACCAAACCACATTCAAGCGGCTCCTGAAGCACAAGACTTCTGGAGGAGCGTCTTCTCACCAGACAGGTGAATTTCACCGAGCAAATGAGGAACACTCGTTAAGAGCAGACAGGCTGCACGTCACACGTAAACAATAAGTCCATTTGTAAATGTTTGTCAGTGAACGCAGATGAACTTGAACCTTTCTGGAGGTTTCAAAAGGCCTGTTCAATAGTAACAGACCTCAGGAGCGTGACTTAATTACTGTATACAGTGATAGTGAATGGGGTATCGTTGCGAATCTTCTAGCAAGGCTGCAGGTCTTGTCCGACAACAACAACAAAAAAACTTTAAAAGGGAACGAGCATTTTAAAATAAACTAATATTTCAAAACACTCGCTTGACAATTGTCACTGTATACAAAATCATACAGATTTCAGAGGAGGCCAAGAGAAGGATCTCCACGTGTCGGCACATATGTTGACAACTTGTTTAATAACTCATAAAACATTCTTCAAACAATAAAACAATTTTATAGTTTCTGTACAATGCTTACTAAGCAGTTTAATTCTATATAGAAAAATGCAGGAGTAGTTTAAATGACCAAACTCCTTCAAATTTAATGGCAGGTACTCTGGGAAAAATAACAGCATTCCATCCACAAATATCTTCAAGCAATAAATATGTATTTATAAATAGTGTAAATGTACATCAGGATTAGAAACAAACAAGGAAGGAAAAAAACAGACCATTTATTCCTTACTCTATGTGCAACCCATTTTCTTTGTGACTTGGCTGTTGTTTTTTTCCACAATTTTTTCCTTTTTCTTACCTAAGAAACAAAATATCCAACATGGTGTCAAAAGAACGAGACAGGTAAAACATAAAAGCAGTAAAAAATTATATATCACCTAATTCTTCACATTACAAATATTTTTATTTTTTTGTAGATTTTGCCATCCAAAGTCGTTGTAAAATCGCTATCTACTGTACAAAAAGCTAGGCTAGCGCTCCGTGAAGGCGAACCCTTGAGACACGAGGAAAGAGATTTCAGGTTTCAGCATGTTAACAAAATACAAAAAGAACGTCTCAAAGTCAGTAGTCTGTAAGTGACGATGCCAGTTGTGACAGACAATATGTACAAAACCAGTTTCCCATAAATTCCTCCACAGTTTTTGTGATTAATTTCTCACGTGAAGCAGAGGCGAGCGGCCCGTTCAGGAAGAGGTGTGTAGAGGGGAAGTTCCTCACTAGCGCCCCCCGCAGGCCACAGTCACACGCTGCAGTTTATAAACAGGTTGCATAGACACACACAGCCACTTGAGCCGACGGTCCCGTGCTCTCCGATGGTCCCCAGCCACGCGAGAGACGAGCGCCACGGTCCTGAATATCAGAAATGGTCCGTTTAGAGAGTTCCTGTAATGCGATATTCTCCACATGTACAGCGTCTTAATGTCAAGATGAAGACGAATGCAGAGCAGGAGCCTACAAAACACAAGGTGAGCGCAGAGCGTTATTCATGCTCAGGGTTTATACACATTTTTACCAATAAATTTCCATGACTTCTCCAACCCTGCATGCTGCTCATGTCATGATTCACACACACAGAAGCCAGTGACGTCTCAATTCAGACACAAACCGTGACTAAACCTGCAAACGCTGCTTGAACCGTCACTAGTTAGCCTGCTGTTCGAGCAAAAGGACACACACGCTGGTACATGAACGACATATTCAGTCAAATAAAGCGACTTACTAATGAGAACTGGTCGTAAACCTGCACGAGGTCCTCCATCCTGAACTGCTGCAGCACCACGAAACCGTCGAGCTCACTGCTGGCCTTCCGAGCGCAATCCTGACACTGAACCACGCAGGACTTCCTGGAGTAACTGTGGCTCGTCACAAAGAGCAGGTTAAACACCTCCACCTGCAACACAGCAGCACAGGAGCGTGACTCAGATGAGCGCGGACAGTTATTCTGCTGTAGAGTCCAGCACTCACCTCACAGATGCTGCAGTAATGAGCCGGCTCATCTCGGCTTCTTCTGTGCCAGACGGTCTCCTTCCCAGCAGACACCAGCGCCTCTTTAATCGTCTGACACTGCTTGAGCGTCCGCAGCAGACAGAACCTGTGAACCACAGACATGTTTTACCAATCCATCCAGATCATCAGAGGAGACTCGGACACGGACACAGACAGTGGCAGCTTTAATAGACTGCATTCACACTAATGCACAGATCTGCTTCCACATATCAGATGTTTTGTGCTGTTCTGAAAACATAACTCACTGTGTTTACATCAAGTTCCTATCATAAAAGTATTCAGAGACGCAAGTGTGTTTAACCCAGCCGCGATCGAGCTTCAGGACAAACACACACACAGCGCAGTGAAAGTCTGTCAGTACGTGGGTTTGTGCATCTAATACGTACTGCACTCCAAACCACAGAAATGAAAGCATATCTACAGTAAAACACTGAAACACTATCCTGCCACCGCGATTCTCTCTAGTCTCAACTTGATGCTCAAATGAACCGATTGCATTATTACGATGCACGCGCGCACACATGAGCGTCATGTCAGTCTTCACCGCGCTGGAGCAAAGCAATTTTCCTTTCTGAAGTATTTGAGTTATTATACAAAGTCCTTTTTGTCGATTTTCAGAATAACTACATATATTAATGACTATGTCGTGAAATATATTGTTACCGTGAAATAGTATTTCGTAGACACGATTAATGTCAACACCCCTAACATCGATCGAGGAAACATCACACTCACTTGATCATCTCAAACAGCTTGTGGTCGGACACTTTAATGTTCCTCGCCATGTTCCAGGACAGATGCACCATGGGAACCATAGATTTGACGCTCTGGAGTTTGTTCCACTCGTAACGTTCGACGGCCAGCTTGTACTGATACGCTGCAGGAAACAGACAAACACGACAATCACACAACAAGCCAGAAACATGCAGAGAGCCAGGCTGAACATCTGCGCACCGGTCAGAGGGCCCACGCTCCACGAGATGTTATTGCACCAGCCGATGGCCTGACCCCAGTGCACCGTCCCCGTGTTCAGCCACACCAGATCTCCAGGCCGCTGGATGAAGCGGTACACCGGCACGTTAGCCTCGAACAGATCCTCCAGATTCGGCCACCACGAGCCCTTCAGGAAGTTGATGTTGTTCCTGAAAGAGAGACTCTTGCATATCAACAGAAGCCACTTTAAAGATCCGTCAGACGATTTAACGAAACGTTCACGAGAGCCATACAGCTCTGAAGCGACTCACGAACGTCACGTACTTCTCACAGAACTCGCTCATCACGCCCCAGTACGGCTCCGGCACGGCAAACCACTCGCAGTCGCCCGGCCCGATGTTGATGTTGACGGCGCAGAAGTTATTGTGCTCCTGATGGCCTGAACACAAACAGAGAGATCACATGACCGGCTGCGACAGACTGGTTTGACTGCGCTTCTGAAGCGTCACGATAACAGCGGCGTCTCACCTGGAGTTCTGCTGCCTGGGACTTTCATGAAGAGCTGGACCGTGTTCATACCCAGAATGCTGTGCCCCACGTGACTCAGCAGGTTCCCAGCAGACACCACACGCGCAAACGCAGGCAGCTTACTGAGTTCCTGCAGCTGCAGCTTCCACCTGCAGGGGGCAGCGCCTCGGCTTTATTTGACTGGCAGACTTACATTACAGAAAAGCTGTGGACTGTCATTCTCACAGCCTCGTAAACTGCATTCAGAGACATGTTAAACTCAGGAAATCTGAAATCACTGCTTGCTAGGGGTGTGCGATATACATCGTCTGCGATAATGTCGTCATTGTTTTTTTAACGATGTGTGATTTGACATTATCGAGCAAAACCAAACAAAACACACTTACAGAGTGCACACATACATGACGTGAAGTCTACTAGGTTAGACTATTAAAAGGCTTTAAAATGATTACAACATTTAGGATATAGGGCAGAAAATTTATATTTTTATATCATTTCATATAGTTAATCAATATCACACAAAGAGTGGCGTTTTTTCAAAAATCAGCATGATTACTAATGTGATATTGATTTTTTACAACAGTTCAATAAACTAGAAGTTAATTAAGAGACTTACGGTTTAGACACCATATTGGCTGTTTTTGCTCTATTTCAACAACAAAAATCATTCCAAACACAGCCACAGCGTTGTTTTGCGTCTCTGAGCAACATGACAGTGATTCGTTCCTGAATGAATCAACCGTTTAAATGATTCGGTTCAATCGCAATGATTCACTTATTAACAGTGACTTGCTGCCACCTGCTGGCGGTTTTAACTTCACATTTAAAGTAGCCTATTTGTTCAATTTTTAAATAATTTCAAATATCAGCATTCAACATTTTGTATTTAAAATATCAAAATATTATTTATGCATTTGTAACTGCAGGTTAAAGCATTCATGTTCCTCTGAGCTGCATTAAACAGTGTGTAAATACATCTAAATGCCTCTTCAGACGCAGCTTCTGTGTTTCCTCTGCATTGCAAAGATTAATTTAGTTGATACTGAACTGATTTCATTTGTATGGTAACAGCCCAAATGTCTTATTATTCTAATTGACTGATTAAATGTAAAAATCTGACTCAAAAGATTATGCACACTTTCAGAAAAAATGGCTTTATAAAAAGGTAGAAAATGCCCATAAAAGGTAAAAATCAATTAAAACTTGTTGAAAAAGATTAATTTCTATCACCATCACACAGAATATGAAGAATATCAAAAACTTTAGGAGTCAGCTGTCCACGGCGGTCCTTAAGATATCAGGACAATAACACTCTCAGCACAACATCGTCTAATTATCGTTATCGATAAAATCCCAGAAAATGTCGAGATATCATTTTTGGTCAATATAGCACACCACTACTGCTTGCAAATACAAACAACTTGACAAGAAGTGCAAAAAGGAAACCTCATGAAAACTCACTTCTTTTCATCGGAGACGTCAATGTTCGTCCCAAACTTGACTTGTTTGAAAGGACCCTTCTGCCTCCTGGGAACACTGAGCAGACGGGAGAGAGTAAGTGCAGGTTTACGTCAGCGCAGCTAAAGCACTTCAGCGGACGTTAGGCGCGCGACACTCACGTTTCTGATGACGTCGCTTCAGAGTCTGACAGCTCCTTCTGGCCCTTCTTCTCATTCTCTTCCTGAAACCACACAAACACGGTTATTTAATATGCAAAATGCCACACGTAACCGATCATTGTGCTAACGTAGGGCTGGACGATATGGCCAAAATTTATATCATGACATGCTATATGCTTCAGACGTCTGCGCTGTACACAAACAGGGCACAAGTTCTTTCCGTTCCTGCGCTTAAATCGTTTTATATCACATTAAAATGCGAACGCAGGAATCGTTAAGCAGACTTGAAAGGCACGCGTCTCCGGTTGTCAAATGGGACTGGTTTTGGATCCCAGCTCTAATGCTAGCTGTAATGAGCTGCGATCTGTGTGCGTGCGTCTCACCCGCAGCGACTCCTGGAAGGACGAGGCCTGGTACTGTGCGTATGTGGAGATGGTGGTGTAGGAGCGGATGCTCTCGCAGCGCCACTGCTTCTTCAGACCGCTGGCGTCCCAGTTCTCATCGGCCGGCTGACACAGCTGCGTCCGCACCTCCACCAGGTGCTCCGGGTTTGCCTCTACTAGTGTCTTCGTGGAGAACAGGCCCAAATCTACAGAGACAGAGAATACAAACATGATCCAAGATCCTACAGGTGTTCAACTACACCGATCAGAAACACCCGGAGAACACCTGTACAGACCACACAAACCTGCCGCTCTCACCGGATGAGCGTTTGCTTCATATACCATAGTGTTGGGCGACATGCTCAATATTCATATCATACTATCGTCAGCCTGTGAGATCGCCGATACACGATATTATCCTGCCAATTTATTTACTTCGCTTCATTGCCGGAAAGTGAACCAACTCCAGCATAAGGCTAAAAGCAGCCTAACGTCTTAAATAAGACTGAATTTGTGTTTAATATAAATAAATAGAAACATCGTAAGTTACATCCAAACATCCTCATAAGCTCAGTCTAGCGCGAGTTTATGCACTTTACAAACACTCCCGTTATAATCAGTGAATCTACACTGTATGATGAATAAATCTCTTATTCTCACACCTGCACTTTGTTGTTTATGATGACAACTCGCGAGTCAGAGTTCAGTCAGCGGTGACTCATCTGAACGCCTCTGACTGGCCATTGCATTCATAAGCTCAGTATAGTCGTGTGTGATTGGTTATAACACTCAACACTGTGAAAACACGGAAAAATAAATATAATGCAACAAATAAGCCCTAATATGAAGTAGATAGTATTACTAGCCGGATAATAATAATAATAGTCTTGCTATCGTCAAAGGCATCAGCCACAGGCAATATCTCTGACGATCATCGATACATGATACTATCGTCTATCGACACAACCCTAATATCACAGGAAAATAATATCAAGATAACACTGACTGGCTGATGGCACCACAGGAACGCTCAAACCCGTCAAACACAGGGAAAACAAGTCCAGTTTTGCTGAACAGTCTTAAAAAAAGATATATAATTGCGATATATAAATGTTATTTATATGTAAAAATCTATTTCTTCCTGTCTCCTTTTGAGCATCTGTCAGTGCATCTAGACGAACCCCGTCCCTGTGGCATTAAAGACATCTGTAAACACTGTGAACGCAGCGGTGTCCAGTCTGAACAACAGAAACATCTACACAGATATACGGATGTCCAGCTGTCTGTGACTGCGGCCGTAACAAACCTCAGGCTGAAACCGCTTCCTCTAAATGTCTGTCATTAAACCAAATGTTTAATTTAATCAGCAAAATTTGTTCCACTATGACAGTACTTGACCTGAAAGAGAAAACTGACCATTTTATGCTAGTTTCCCACTGCGGCAACATGTTAGAAACACATGGACTAAAAATTTTAATCTGAAATCAAGTCAGCATAGCAAGAAGAGCTTGCGTTACACACTTCTGAGTCTGGATAAAAGCATCTGTCAAGTGTATTTATGCACATGTAACTAATGTTTAAAATTGTCATATGATATTATATCACCTAATAACTGATTTGATAATGTGACAGACCAAGTACAGCCGAGAAAAGCTTCACAAGTGTCAAAAGATTTGTATAATACTAATGTCTATAATAATACTAATCTATAATACTAGTGTGAGCTGTAAATCAGTCAGAGAATTTTGCATTTCATCCAGCAAACCGGCCAAACGTCCTTGAATTCTGTGCAACAATGGAGCAAAGCAAGTCTCAATCTGTTTTATAGTTGCCATGGCAACCACAGAGAAACACATCATTCCCACAAGAATCCACATTACACAATAAATAAGCTTTCCATTGATGTATGGTTTGTTAGGATCGGACAATATTTGGTTGAGATACAACTATTTGAAAACCTGGAATCTGAGGGTGCAAAAAAATCTAAATATTGAGAAAATCATCTTTAAAGTTGTTCAAATGAAGTTCTTAGCAATGCATATTACTAATCAAAAATTAAGTTTAGGGAAGCATGCTGGTTAAGCTCCGCGCGAGGCTTTCGAACTGCGCTCCCAAGCATTCATCGCGCGAATGTCCGTTCCCTTCTCAACAAAACGGATGAACTTCTCATCCGCACCAACAAGGACTCCTCACACTCTGCTGCGCTGTGCTTCACTGAAACCTGGCTGAGGGAAGCCATTCCGGATAACATGCTTCATCTGCCGGGCTTCTGTTCAGAGCGGATCGCATCGCGGAGTTAACGGGGAAAACCAGAGGTGCTGGATTGTGTTTCTACATCAACGAAAGTTGATGATCAGATGTAACAACCCTGGAAAAGGTATGCGGTCCTAACTTAGAGGCACTATTCTTAAACTGTAAACCTTTGTACTCGCCGCGGGAGTTTATTCTCGTGAATGTGTACGTGCCTCCGGACGCGTGCGTGAGCGCCGCGATGCAACAGCTGGCCGAACAAATGACTGAAATGGAGCAAAGGTACCCAGACTCTATTTAAATCATTCTTGGAGATTTTAACAAATCAAATCTCTCCCGTGAACTGCCAAAATACAAGCAGCACATTACGTGTCCCACCAGAGACAGCACTATTTTGGATCACTGTTACACAGCAATAAAGGATGCATATCACTCTGTCCCACGAGCAGCTTTGGGGCTCTCTGATCACTGTTTGGTTAATCTTATACCGACCTACAGGCAGAAACTGAAATCAGCTAAACCTGTATTAAGGACTGTAAAAAGATGGACTAATGAAGCAGAGCAGCATTTACAAGCTTGTTTTGACCTCACTGATTGGAGCATCTTTGAAGCTGCAGCCACCGATCTGGACGAGCTCACAGAGACTGTAACTTCATATATCAGTTTCTGTGAAGATATGTGCATTCCTACCAGGACATTCTTATCATTTAATAATGATAAACCGTGGTTTACTGGGAAACTCAAACAGCTTCGTCACGCCAAAGAGGATGCTTACAGAAGTGGGGATAAAATCTTGTATAACCAGGCCAGGAACAGACTAACAAAGGAGATCAGAGTGGCTAAAAAAAACTACTCAGAAAAGCTGAGAAAAGAGCTTTCAGCAAACGATCCAGCGTCAGTATGGACTGGTCTGAGGAACATCACCATGTACAAGACACCACCCCCACAGCTTGCGGAGAATCAACAATTGGCTGACGATCTGAATGTGTTTTACTGCAGATTTGAAAAGGATCGTCTACCACCCCCCATCCGCTCTGATCTGCACTTCACACCTTCACCTACCACCCCTGCAACCCCCCTCCCTCCCTCCCCCACCATTCAACCTGTGCTTAAGGTCTGTGTAGAGGATGTGAACCGGGTCTTCAGGAAGCAGAAATCTAGAAAAGCTTCAGGCCCAGATGGTGTTTCACCTGCCTGTTTAAAAGTCTGCGCTGACCAACTGGCCCCCATCTTCACACAGATCTTCAACAGATCATTGGAGCTGTGTGAAGTTCCCTGCTGCTTCAAACGCTCCACCATCATTCCGGTCCCCAAAAAGCCCAAAATCACTGGACTTAACGACTACAGACCTGTCGCTCTCACATCTGTGGTCATGAAGTCACTTGAGAGACTGGTCCTGGCCTACCTGAAGGACATCACCTCTCTGATCACTGTTTGGTTCATCTTATACTGACCTACAGGCAGAAACTGAAATCAGCTAAACCTGTTTTAAGGACTGTTAAAAGATGGACTAATGAAGCAGAGCGGGATTTACAAGCCTGTTTCGACCTGGAGTGTTTTTGAAGCTGCAGCCACCGATCTGGACGAGCTCACAGAGACTGTAACATTAGGGGCAGTCATGGCCTAATGGTTAGAGAGTTTGACTTGCAACCCAAAGGTTGCGGGTTCTAGTCTCATGTCCGACAGGGATTGTGAATGACCAAGCGCTCTCTTCCACCTTCAATACCATGACTGAGGTGAGACCCTTGAGCAAGAACCGAACCACCAACTGCTCTCCGGGTGTGTGTTCACTGCTGTGTGTGTTTGTTCACTTCTCACTGCTGTGTGTGTGCACTTGGATGGGTGAAATGCAGAGCACAAATTCCAAGTATGGGTCACCATACTTGGCCACACATCACGTCCTTCCCTTTCCTTCCTTTTTCATGTATCAGTTTCTGTGAGGATATCTGCAACCCCTGTACACTTATTTAATAATGATAAACCGTGGTTTACTGGGAAACTCAAACAGCTTCGTCACACCAAAGAGGATGCTTACAGAAGTGGGGATAAAATCTTGTATAACCAGGCCAGGAACAGACTAACAAAGGAGATGAGAAAAGAGCGTTCAGTCAACGATCCGGCGTCAGTATGGACTGGTCTGAGGAACATCACCTTGTACAAGACACCACCCCACAGTCTGTGGAGAATCAACAACTGGCTGACGATCTGAATGTGTTTTACTGCTGATTTGAAAAGGCCAGGCTCTCACCCCCCACCCGCTCTGATCTGCACTTCACACATTCACCCCCTGCAACCCGTTTCAACCTGCCACAGGAGCTGCTGCAACAGTTCTACTCTGCTATCATTGAGTCTGTCCTGTGTTCATCCATAACTGTCTGGTTTGGTTCAGCTACAAAATCAGACATCGAGAGACTACAACGGACAGTCAGGACTGCTGAGAGGATTATCGGTGCCCCTCTGCCCAGCCTCCAAGATCTTTACATCTCCAGAGTGAGGAAAAGGGCTAAAAAAATCACCTTGGACCCCTCACACCCAGCCCACTCTCTCTTCGAACTGTTACCTTCTGGTCGGCGCTACAGAGCACTGACCACCAGAACAGCCAGGCACAAGAACAGTTTTTTTCCCACAGGCTATATTCAGCCTGAACAATTAATCTTTCATAATTATACATCATCCATCACA